ACTTTTTTTTTTTTTCTTTTCTCTGAAATATTGTATTGTTTTAATTTTTTTAATATATATTCTTTTAATTTTCCTTTCAAAAAAAGTACGTAATGAATTTTTTTTTTTATACGAAAATAAACAAAGACAATATTAATTTTGAGAGCTTAAAAAATGATGAAATAATATTAAATATTTATTTAGATGATATAAGTTATTATAGTGGTGATGTTTTTAAAGCAATATTTGAATTAAAGGGGCCAAATAAATACATTGGAAATATTAAGTTAGATTATATTGTTATATATTTATATGGTGTTTATATATTTAATAAAGAGGTTATAAATGTTTGTGACGAATTAATAAAAAAACAAGATAATATTAATTTACCTTTTTATAATGAAAATGATTTAAAAGAGCAAAGATTTTTAATTTTCTACACTAATTCTATAATTTTATGTAGTGATATAAAATTTGAAAAGCCTAATGATACATCATATTATATTTTAGAATGTATTCTTCCTTCATTTATTCCACCCTCATATAATGGGAAAAATGTAAAATTTAAATATTATTTGTACGTTCATTCAGTTAAGAGATTATATAAAAATAGAAAAGATTTTATTACAAAAGATTATAAAGCATGTTTTCCTATAAATATATTAAATTCAAAATATATTAATTCTCCTTTTTTAAATATTTTATCATTTCCTATAAAACCTTTTAACTTAAAAATGGATAATAAAAAAAAGTCTAATTATTTTTTTCATAATTTCCATATTAAAATTAAAGATGTAAATAGTAAATGTACAAGTAATATTCCTAAAGTTATTTTTAATAGTACTTGTATTCCTTCATATATTTATAATAATACAAAAAAATCCAACTTAGAGAATCTTTTGTGCATTTATAACATTTATTCTTTAAGAAAAGAAGATTCATATTTATATTTATTAAACTATTTTGTTAATAACTATAACTATTTTTATTTTATGCATTTATTTTTTTATTTTATATATCACTATAATTATTATGTTAATAATATTAAGACAACGGAATTATTTAAAAATATCAAATTTGACTCCTTTTTAAAAATTCTACAAAATTATAACTATGTTATTAAAAATAAAAATCCAATAAAAATTAAGTTAAATAGACAAAAAATTAGTATGAAGCAAATAGTTAATCAACCAAAACACAAAAAATTCTCAAAATTTTCATCAATAGAAAGATGTATAACTAAAAATAATCACGAAATTTGTTATTCAAATGATGATATGATCATTACAAGTAAAAATAAATTTCATAATGCTCTTAGCATACCAAATGTTAAATTAAAAAAAACTGATTTCTCAAATACTAATATAATTTACAACAAAGATAATTATAAAAGTAACTATGTAAATAAAAATGAAGAAAATTATAATAAAGAAAATAGTTTAAATAAGAGCATAAATAATAAAAGTATAAATGAAGATAAAGATAAAAATAAAAGAAAAAATGAAAATAATTTTAATAATCCCATTGATAATTTTATTTTTTATGACGACAATGATTTATATGATTTCTACTTTTGTGAATATGATAATTTTGTATTTAATGACATTATATACACCCCTGTTAAATGGTATGACAATTTAGTTTTTGATAATTCAGAAAATTCTTCATATCCTCAAAATTATTATATGGAAGATAATAAAAATAACACTACTAATATAAATTATGAAAGTCCTTCAGATTTTAAAAGTGAAAATAAAAATTCTTATAGTTCAGAAGAAGAAACATATGACGAATTAAATTATAATCAAAGTTATAATAAGAAAAATAAAGATAAAAATAGTCATAATAAATTTAATGAAAAACAAACAATTGACAATCTGAATAAGGAAAAAGAAAAAAAATTAACTGAAATTCATCTAATTGATAATAAAAAAACAAACTTTAATAAAACAAAGAATAATAAAGTTTTAGAAAATAATTTTATAAAATATGATAAGGATTTTGAAAAAATAAATACCATAATAAAATTTATGATTGATTGTGATATGTTTAAATATATAAATACGAAAAAAATGAAATCAACTAATTTGCAAGATGAACCAATGGATACTTCAAATAATAAGAAGGAAGAAGATAAAATTTTTAATAATGTATGTAGAAATGTGTATCGAATAAATTCTGGAAATATGAATATTTGTTATATTACTTTAACTGATGCAAATAATAATAAAATAGCTAATACATTTACTTATAATAGTATTATAAATATAAATATTGATTTTAGAAATGCAGAGATATCCACTATGCATGTTGATGCTACCTTACAAAGATATGAAAAAGTAAAATTGAAAAAAAAACTATTAAATATAGCAAAAAAAAACTTATATGATGAAAATAGCGTATTAGAAGAGGGTTATTCATCATTTAATTCAGATGAATCATCATATAATGTTGTTTCAAGTTATAAAACGATAATACAACAAAGTGTTTGCACATTATATTGTTCTGAAAAAAATATAAGCATTATATTAAATGATGAAGTCATACCTACATTTAGAAATGATCTTATAAAAATTGATTATTTCATTGATATAGATTTTTATTGTTTTAATAATGATGCATTTTCATTAACTCCTATTTCTCTATATAAAGAATTTGAAAATATTTATAATTTAAAATTTCGTATTCCTATATACATAGTAGAAAAAACACATGAAATATACGAAAATTATTCCAATTTCGATGACTCTGTAAGTGAAATTAAATTAGACCAACATAAGTTTTTTTTAAAAAATAATTATAAATTTACTTATATGGACAAAAAACATTTTATAAAAAGTGTAACAATGTAATCATACTATATTATAAAAAAAAAAAAATAAATTTCCAATAACATCTACTTATATAAGTAGAATCTATATATATGCTCAGTAATTATATTTGTTTTCTTTTATTTTTTTGTTAAATTTTTTAATTTTAACTTTTTTGTGTATTTACAAAATACTAGCTAAATAAATTAGTTCTAAGTTTCATGAAAAACTATTGAGCAAATTAATAAGTATTAAAAAAAAAAAAAAAAAAAACTTATGTACATTTTTGAATAGCATTTTTCTTTTTTTCTTTTTTTTTTTTTTCTAAAAGTTTTATAAACACATAAGATAAAAAAAGTGTACAGTTAATATTGTTAAATTTATTTGGGTACACATTTATGCAATTGTAACATATTTAAATATTTTTGTCTACTTTTTTTTAAAAATATAGAAATATTATATATATATATATAGAATCTTATTATTTTAACATTTTTTTTTTATAAATTCCCTATTTTATATTATTATAATGTTTTTAATTTTTAATAGTTATTGATTTTGCATCCATGCATATATATATCCATAATATAATTTCTAATTTGCAAAAAGTGCAAAAAGAAAAAAATATAAATTAAAAAAGTTAAATAAATGAAAAATGTGTAAAAAAAAAAAAAAAAAATAAATAAAATAAAATAAAACATTAAACATAAGAAATATATGACTATATAATAATACAACTGTTTTTAAAAAGAAAGTGTTTAATAAAATATGTCTATATAATATTAATAATATAATTTACACATGTATTATATCTTATTTTATTATTTAAAAAATTTTATAAAATTTTACCATTATTAATTTATTTTTTTTTTTTTTATTACTATTTTAATTTTTTTATAAAATAACATTATATTATTTTTATGCATAAACTTTAATGAAAAACATTATGCTAAATTTGCATGTACTATGTTTTTCTATATATTATTATTATCATTATTTTTTTATTTTTTATCTTACTTTTTTATTAATATATCAATAATTAATGAAAAATAGTTATGTTTACGTGTGTTTATATTATTTAAATTTTTCATTTTTTTTTTTTTTTTTTTTTTTTTTTTTTCTATTTATACAAAATATAATATTTTTTTCTCATAATTAATAAGTTTATTCAGTAACATAACATACTGGATGATATTTACTTGATTCTTGTCTAAAAAAATTTATTTGACTTGTATTTCCTTCAGTAACATCTTTAGTTATATTAAAATATATATCATCTATTTTGGTTTCTGTACTTTCTTCATTTATACTTTTAAAAACATCATTATTTTCAGTATATTGGCTTATATTATCATAATAATAAAATCCATACATACATTCATTCATAAATATTTGTATAACTTGTCCTTGTCTTATATGTTTATTATTAACAATTTCTGTATATATGCATAAGTTGCATTTTATTTTAGCTTCATAATCTTCAATATTTTCACATTTAAATTCTACATTTTTCAATATACTTTTTGCATAATTTCTATATTTTTCTATATATCTTAGTTTTTCTTCCATTTCTTTATTTTTATTTTTTTCTTCCTTTTTCTTAATATCATCTAAATTTGTTATATTCTTATTTTCACTACTTTTCTCATTTGATTCTACAGATTCATTTAACATATTAAGTTCTCTTGATAACAATTTTTCTATAGTAGCTTTATACATACTTACATCAGCTTCAGGAACATAAAAAGTTTGTTTTAATTCAAGATTTCTTTTATCATAAAACACACATTTAGATATTTTAGATTTACATGCTACCAAGTTAAGGGCGAAGAAAAAAACACCAATAAAAATGTAATATTTTAACATCTTCACTAAATAATTCAAAGTAATAAAAAAATAAATAAATTTATATATGTGTATATATATATATATATCGAAATATATATATTTCCTTAAAAATATTAAAAAAAAAAAAAAGGAATTAATTCAGCCTGTAAATTAAAAAAGGGAAAATATGAAAACACTTTTTATAGAGTATTATTAGAGAAAGATATATATACATATATATATATATTATGCAATATTTAAAAAAAAAAAAAATAATAAAATAAAATATCAAAAATAAATATAAAACAAAATATACATTAAATAATAAAGATAAGCAATCATATAAAAAAGATTTTCATCAAATATACATATCCCAGAATTAGTATAACGTAAATTAAAGAAAAAAAAATTGAAGAACATATATATACAGAGAGTAAAAAACAAAATGTAATAAAAAAATAAAGGGAAAAATAAAAAAAAATAAAAACAATCAAATATTATGCTTAATTATAATAAACAAAGTTTAATATGTACTAAAATATGAATAAAAAACTTTATATATATGTATTTTTTTTTTTTTTTTTTTTTTTTAA